AGACTACGCCGCTAGCCTTGTTGCTGAGTCTGAGTCTGTCTGTCCTCCGTCCGTCGGGGGTGAGTGTGCTCTTGGCACGGACGTCCTTGAGGACAGACAGGAGGAGTTTGAGTGCTTTGCCGCTGCTTTACCTCATCTCGTGTCCATGCTGATTGCCCCTGAGGGAGACCCGGATGCACCAGACATCCCGACCCCACGCTCTTACGCAGAGGCGATGGAGGGTCCCTACTCCTCTCAGTGGCAGACAGCCATGGACGCAGAGATGGCTTCCTGGAAGTCCACAGGCACCTACGTAGACGAGGTTCCCCCACCTGGGGCGAACATCGTCAGTGGCATGTGGATTTTCAGGGTGAAGCGGCCGCCGGGTTCTCCGCCTGTCTTCAAGGCGCGTTACGTTGCACGAGGCTTCAGTCAGCGAGAGGGAGTTGACTTCTTCCATACCTTCTCCCCAACCCCGAAGATGACCACTCTTCGGGTTCTGCTGCACGTCGCCGCTCAGCGTGACTACGAGCTCCACTCTCTTGACTTCAGCACTGCGTTCCTACAGGGCAGCCTGCACGAGGAGATCTGGCTGCGCCGCCCACCTGGCTTCACTGGGTCGTTCCCTCCTGGTACCCAGTGGAGCCTCCGGCGGCCAGTCTACGGTCTCCGCCAGGCACCCCGTGAGTGGCACGACACACTGAGGACTACTCTTGCTGCTCTTGGGTTTGCTCCTTCTACTGCTGACCCGTCGCTGTTTCTACGCACCGACACCACTCTGCCGCCGTTCTACGTTCTCGTGTACGTAGACGACTTGGTCTTTGCTACTGCTGACACTGAGGCACTCGCCCACGTGAAGTCGGAGCTGCAGAAGAGACACACGTGCACAGACCTGGGTGAGCTGACAAGCTATCTTGGCTTGCGGATCACCCGGGACAGAGCACAGCGCACCATCACCTTGACTCAGTCACACATGGTGCAGCAGGTCCTTCAGCGCTTCCGCTTCACGTACTCCTCGCCTCAGCCCACTCCTCTGCCTACCGGTCACTCGCTCTCAGCTCTGCCTTCGGATGAGTCCGTAGAGCCGAGTGGCCCGTATCCAGAGCTTGTGGGCTGCCTCATGTACCTGATGACCTGCACTCGACCTGACCTTGCATACCCTCTTAGCATCCTAGCACGCTATGTCGCTCCTGGCCGTCACCGGAAGGAGCACATGGATGCAGCTAAGAGGGTGTTGTGCTACTTGTGCAGTACGTCGGGCATGGGGCTTGTGCTTGGAGGACGGGCTCGAGTTGTCCTCACTGGGCACTCAGACGCTTCTTGGGCTGACGACGAGGCTACGCAGCGGTCGTCTCAGGGTTACACCTTCAGCCTTGGCTGTGGTTCAGTTTCTTGGCGTTCTACACGCTCGTCTTCAGTTCTCAGCTCCAGTTGTGAGGCTGAGATCTACGCCACAGCCATGGCTGCACAGGAGTTACGCTGGCTCACCTACCTGCTGACCGACCTGGGAGAGCGGCCTCGTTCTCCTCCAGTGCTGTACGTCGACAACAAGGCCGCCATTGCCTTGTGTCAGGAGCACAGACTGGAGCACAGAACGAAGCACATCGCTCTGCGCTACTTCCTTGCTCGAGAGCTGCAGCAGCGTGGTCAGCTTCGTCTTGCTTACGTGGCCACTCGGGCCAACACTGCTGATGTGTTCACCAAGGCGCTTCAGCCTTGTGATCATCAGCGTTTCTGTACTGTTCTAGGCCTTGTGCCTACTGTCCCTCACTTGCTCACTTCTTGACTCTGCTTGTACTGTGATCTCTCTATATATACCTGCATGCTTACACTTGCTAGGTTGTGATCACTGTACCTCTTGTTATATTATCAAACTGCATGTGAACTGGTCTTGTGACCGCTTGCTTGTGCTTGGAATTTGTGTGGTATCCTTGAGATCCACTCTGAGCTTGGTTTTGCTTTGTTTTGCTTTGACTGGTCTTGTGACCATCTGGTTGTCTCCCACTTAGCCTATGGGGGTGTGTCAAACATTGTATATGTTTATATTCTGTAGGCTATAGTGGGTTTAGCCTTAGGGGGTACAACATTCTAGGGTTTCCTACTTGTACTCCCAATCTTGTTAGTTCAATCACCTTTGTTCATTCTGACACTGGGTACTCGTCGACCGTGCAGCAGTGAAGGGGAGAAGGATCCTTTCCGGCAAGTGGGTCTTCCGCGTGAAGACCGGAGCTGACGGGACGATCGAGCGCTTCAAGGCGCGCTGGGTAGTACGCGGCTACGACCAGAGGCACGGGATCGACTTCGATCAAACGTTTGCACCGGTGAGCCGTCACACCTCCGTCAGGATACTCCTCGCCATCGCAGCCGCACGACATCTGCCGCTCCGACAGATCGATGTTAAGAATGCATTCCTGTACGCGCTCGTAGATGCAGTGATCTACGTGGAACAGCCGCACACATACGGCGAAGGAGACTCGCGGGTCTGCCAGCTGCGGAAGTACCTATACGGGATCAAACAGGCGCCGAGACTCTGGCAGCAGTACCTGCACAACATACTGCTTGAAATCGGGTTCAAGCAGCTGCCTCACGATCCTGGGATGTATCGCCGCGATTTCCGCGGCGAATACATCCTACTCACGGTCTACGTCGACGACCTCCTCTACACAGGGTCAAGCAACGAGCTGCTCGAGCAATTCGAGAAAAACCTCGCAGGGCGCGTCGACATCACCTGCAACCATGACGTGAAGCAGTTTCTCGGGCTCAACATCACTTACTCGCCGGAAGCCATTCATCTCTCAGCAGCGAAGTATGCAGAGGAGCTTAGCAAGCGCTTCAACATTGCGCCTGCACCACTCTCCACCCCTTACCGCACCCCAGGACCCAACCACAAGCCTGACAACAAAGCCCTGTCCCCTGCTGGGCTTCACACCTACCAGCAGCAGTTGGGATGCCTGCTCTTTGCGTCTGTTACCTGCAGGCCCGACCTTTCCTACATCGCGAGCCAGTTGGCTCAGTACTCTCGCAAACCAACGGCTGAGAATCTACTAGATCTTCAGCGGGCGCTTCAGTTCTTCATCTCCACGCCCAGCATCGGGCTCTGCTACTCCACCATTCCAAGTTCATCCTTCAACCTCATCGGCTACGTGGACGCCGATCACGCCGCTGACCCTGACAATCGACGATCCAGGACAGGCTTCCTTTTTCGTCTTGAGCCCAGCGGCCCCATCTCCTGGAATTCACAGAAACAGGAGCTGGTTGCCCTGTCTTCAGCGGAGGCTGAATTCATTGCAGCAACAGCAGCCGTTCGCGAAGGCCTCTACCTTCAGGAGCTGTTGCAGGAGGCAAAAATTCCAGCCTCGAAGAACTTTCGCCTGCACTGCGACAACCAGAGCGCGATTCGGATCGCGAACAAACCGGGATTCGTCAACCGCACCAAACACATAGCGCTGCAGTACTTCTTCGTCGAGGACGAAGTTGACAAGGGCAAGGTCGACCTAACCTACTGCCCGACGGGTGACATGGCAGCTGACTTCCTCACAAAGAAGCTGTCACGTCAGCAGTACCAGCACTGCTCCGAACTCAGCGGGGTAGTCAAGCGGGTCAAGACTCGCTACGGCCAGGAGTGAAGGGGGGTGTTACGAATAGTGATTATTGAAACACTATTGTGCACTCCTCACCGCAGCAAGCGAAGCACGTACTACCGAGGTCGAAGACGAAAGGGCGGAGGTAATGCGAAGGGACGTACGGTTACGAGGAGCATCTGGACCGTCGGGCAGACAGCATCAGGCAGCGGCAGTGGCGAGGATTCTGCCCGAACAGTTTCGTAACCACCCGGAGTCGCACGGTTGGATTTCGCTGCAATAAGGGAATGTACCCCTTAGAGTACATGGCTAGCTAGGTCGTTTCGTATTCCGCTGTACTCTTATTTATATCCCTTGTACTGCATGTTTTTATTATCTCAAGCATTTACATCCACTCTGCTATTGAGGTCAAGGGCCCACCACCACTAGATTAGGACTGTGTGAACCTTCCTGAGGTGATCCTGGTTACGATCAACTTCTGATCGCAGCAAATGACACTCGAACCCATCAGCCAACCAGCCACAAACCAACGATTAGACAATGGAGCACATGATTCACACTAATAGCAAGTAATAGTTACTACCGTACGAATGTACTCCACATTCAGCCTTAACGGATCGCGCAGTTGAGTTGGTTTCCCGCGTTGCTGGCACGAACCATCAGGTGTCGCATCCAGGGGAGAGTTTGGCTAGCCACACGCCGCCACTGGCGCTGTCACACCGTTCTCCCATCCCATGCTCATCCTCACCCCGTCCCCGCGAAGCGCTGCGAATCTGCGATGCTTGGTTGCTGTGCCGACGAATTTCGCATGTCGGCGAGGCGACATCCAAGGCTGTCAGATCTGCCTCTCGAACTTGGCGGCTGAAAGGAGAGCAGTGCCGCAAATGTGACGAGATGACGAGGTTGGTTGGGCTCTGCCACTGCAGCAACCAGCCTTCACCTCCCTCAAACTGGCATTTCTCCACCGGCCTGCAGCAGCAACCCTTGCCTGCGACTGAACTCCCACCACCAGCACGACACCCATGCACTCCTCACTCTCTCCTCTTGCGTGAGCCAGGATTCCTGAAAACGAGCCGTGGTGCTGAGAACGAGCCGTAGTGCTGAAAACGAGCCGTAGTGCTGAGAACGAGCCGTAGTGCTGAGAACGAGCCGTAGTTCTCTAACACGTGCCGCAGCGCTTGTAACGCGCCGTAATGCTGAAAACGCACCGTGACAGCCGCCGATAGCAGCCGCTGTCAGGCCGCGCCACAGCAGTCAGCGCGCCACTAGACTACCGTTCCACCAACTCCTGCGCGCCGCGCTGCTCACTTTCGCGACTCGCAGCCGCTCCCTTAGTGGTGGCCGTGACACCTAATCCGTGTCGGCCACGTGGCGAGATTCACGCGAGTTCTGCAGCGGAGAGGGTGCGCTGACGCGGTAGAAAGCGGTGCGGGAAGGCGCATGGATGACGGCGGGGCGACACGCCCCACATGGCAGCACGCGGTGGCGACAACTCGACGGCGAGTCGTCGCTTGTGGCTGGCAACGCGAAACGCTTCTCGCGACGCGGCTCACTCACGCGCGACCCCGCCGCCGTCTCCAACCGTTACTCGCGCTCCCCGCCGTCTTCCTTCTCCTCCTCGCGTCGCCGCGCGCGCTCGTGCGATCCCGCGTCGTGCTATCCCAGGACGCCAACCCCCGCCTGCCCGCGACTGCTGCCGCGAGAGGCGCAGCGAGTGGCACAGGCAGCGCGGACGCGGCGGCGTGGCTGTCCACCCGCGAAGGAACCCCCGCGGGGAAACCATTCAGTTCCGCCTCCACCGCAGGCTCGGTTTCGGCTTCAGAATCAGTCACGGCGGCTTCCACGCGGGTTGCCACGCGCGGGCCATGGGCGGCGGCGATCGCGGAGTCGGTGACGCGGGGAGTGCGGGAAGACGGCGAAGGGGAGACGGGAGCGGGAGGGGAAGGCGAAGACGAAGGGCGGACGGCGCGCGCGGGGCGGACGCGAGAAGCATTTGCGGGGAGGGCAGCGCCCATCGTGCTGCCGCTGCAGCGGCAGGTGCGGCGAGCGCACTCGAGGGAGCGGAAGACAGGCGGGGAGCGTGTGGAGGCAGGGGACGCGCCGCGAGCGGGGGAAGGCGGAGAGGCGGGAACGCGGAGACGGCAGTTGCGGGGGCTGCCGCTTGACCTGCGGGGCTCCGTGCTTGAGCTGGGGTGAGTGCGTGGCGCGCAGGGTGGGTGGCGCGCAGGGGTGGGTGGCGCGCAGGGGTGGGTGGCGCGCAGGGGTGAGTGGCGCGCAGGGGTGGGTGGCGCGCAGGGGTGGGTGGGCGGCGGGCCATGCGAAGGTGGGGGGCGCAGGGGGTGCTGGGGCTGGGGTGAGTGGCGGAGTTAGGGCATGCATGGCGGAGTTAGGGCAAGTTACACGAAGGTGGGCCGTTGATGGGTTCGAGGTGCTGTCTGCTGCTGCTGCTCGTGCCCGTCTCCCCGCCCCACCACTCCTTCACCTCCAATGACGCCCCACCATTCCGCGCTCCCCCTCCTCTCCCCTCCCCATCCCCTCCCCCTCCCGTCCCTCCCCCCCCCAGGTACTACTACGTGACGCTGTACCTGGGGTGGCCGCCACAGCGGTTCGCGCTGATAGCGGACACGGGCAGCAGCATCACCTACGTGCCCTGCGCTGCCTGCACGCACTGCGGTAACCACCAGGTGCGATGCGGTAACCACCAGGTGCAATGCGGTAACCACCAGGTGCAATGCGGTAACCACCAGGTGCGATGCGGTAACCAGCAGTAGGAAGAGAGGAGATTGTGTGAGCAGTGGTTTGGAGAGAGGGGGCAGAGGAACGAGCGTGTTGAGGAGCAGCAGGGCAGTGGCTGGCACCCGACACTGTGCTGTGCTGCCTGCACCACCCATGGCTGCCTGGGCTGGGCGCTGTGCGTGAGAGGCACAGGTGACGTGGCTGGGTGCTTCTCCAACGCCACGGCGCACGGCTCTGAGTGCTGCAAGCTGCTGCTTGAGCCCATGCAACCACCCCACTCCGCACCCACCCTGCCTCTCTGCCCTCACCCACCCTCCCCCATTCTCACCTCTCCCTCTCACCCTTTCCTCTCTCACCCGTCCCTCACTCACCCTTTCCTTTCTCACCCTTCCGTCTCTCGCCCTCCCCCCTCTCACCCTCCCCACGTCTCCCCCCCAACCAGGATCCGCGCTTCAACCCGTCGCTCTCAGCATCCTACGCCACCATCCCCTGTGCACACGAGCGCTGCCTCACACGCGCCTGCTCGCCCACGGGGCTGTGCACGTACCACGGCGTGTACGCCGAGGCCAGCTCCACTCGCGGCCTCCTCGCCTCCGACCTCCTCTCCTTCGCCCCGCCCCCCCTCTCCCCCTCCGCGCCACACCCCTCGGCCGCACAGCCCCGCGTGCCAGCAGGGGGGGTGCATGAGGCGCACTCACCTCCCCAGCCTACACCGCCTGCCGCCGCAGCCGTGCCTCTCAACGCCTCTCAGGCGCCATCCTCACTGCATCCAGCAGCAGCAGGGCCGTCAGGCGAGAGAGTGCTACTGGCGGGGGCAGGGGAGGCGGGGGTGGGCGGTGGAGAGGGCAGCGTGGGGGAAGCAGGGGTAGGTGGGGGGGCAGAGGGTGAGGAGGGTGCGGGCGAGAGAGAGGGCGTGTCACGAGCTGCAGAGCGAGCTGCCCCGGATGGCCCGCGACTGGTCTTCGGGTGAGCTGCAATGCAACCCCCCTTCCGTGCTGCCCCGGGCCCCGATCCCCAGAGTCGCATCCCCACACCTCGCCCCCTCGCACATCCCCCGTGCCCGACCATTCCCCACGCTGCTACCCCCGTGCCCCTCGATCCCCCCCCCGTTCCCCCCCCAGGTGCGAGCTACAGGAGACGGGCGACCTGTACCTGCAGCGCGCGGACGGCATAGTGGGGCTGGGCCGGGACGCGCTGTCGCTGCCCAACCAGCTCGTGCTCTCCGGGGCCATGCGGGAAGACGTCTTCTCCCTCTGCTTCGCCGCCCCCGCTGCCCCTCATCCTGCTGCCCCCCGTGCTGCTGCTGGCCATGATGGTGACGATGGCGGAGTGGAGCACGGGGTTCATGGTGATGCCTCTCACGACGCCAAGGGAAGCAGCGCTGCTGACGGCGAGCTGGATGAGCAGCCAGGCACGGCGCAGGGGCAGGGGGGAGGGGAGGGCGAGGGGGAGGGGGGGGTTGTGGACGTGGAGGGGGAGGGGGGCGAGCTGATTCTGGGGCGCGCGGAGGAGCTGCCCGGCACCGTGTGGACGCCCCTGCTGCCCTCCGCCAGGTGGGTGCTGCTGCTGATGCAACTTGTCAGTGTGCTCCCCTCGACTTGCGCCATTCCTCTTCTCCATTGGTCCCTCTCACCGGATGCTGCTTTGTTCCCACCCGCCCATACAATCCCATGCTGAGCTTCCACTGTCGCTTGCTTCACTTAGGGAGTCGTTACTTCCAAACGACTTTGTTTCCGAGCTGACTTGGTCCCCTCTTGCCCTGCCATCCCCCCTACAGTGAGACCTCGTACTACATAGTGAGTGTGGAGGAGATGGTGGTGGGGCGGCAGCGCGTGGCAGTAGCGGCATCAGTGTGGGAGGAGGGGCCGTACGGTGGGGTGATGCTGGACAGCGGCACCACCTTCTCCTACCTGCCCTCCCCCGCCTTCCACGCCTTCAACGCCCTCGTGAGTGCGCTGCCCTCGTGAGTGCCCTGCCTCGTGAGTGCCCTGCCTCGTGAGTGCCCTGCCTCGTGAGTGCCCAGCCTCGTGAGTGCCCTGCCTCGTGAGTGCCCAGCCTCGTGAGTGCCCAGCCTCGTGAGTGCCCAGCCTCGTGAGTGCCCAGCCTCGTGAGTGCCCAGCCTCGTGAGTGCCCAGCCTCGTGAGTGCCCAGCCTCGTGAGTGCCCAGCCTCGTGAGTGCCCAGCCTCGTGAGTGCCCAGCCTCGTGAGTGCCCAGCCTCGTGAGTGCCCAGCCTCGTGAGTGCCCTGCCTCGTGAGTGCCCAGCCTCGTGAGTGCCCTGCCTCGTGAGTGCCCAGCCTCGTGAGTGCCCAGCCTCGTGAGTGCCCAGCCTCGTGAGTGCCCAGCCTCGTGAGTGCCCAGCCTCGTGAGTGCCCAGCCTCGTGAGTGCCCAGCCTCGTGAGTGCCCAGCCTCGTGAGTGCCCTGCCTCCTCACTGCCCTGCTGCCTTGTGAGTGAGAGGCAGGCATGCAGTGGGCGGGCGGGAGGGCATGTGGGAGCAGCGGTGGCAGGAGTGATGGCTTGCCTCCACTGCTGGGATCACTCGGGATCACGCCCCTGCCTTCATTCCCTGCCCCGCTCTTCGTCATCTTGACTCTCACTCTCACTCTCACTCTCACTCTCACTCTCACCACCACTTTCAATCTCTCTCCCACTACCGCTATTGGAGGAGATCGTGCTTGTGCTCCGTACTCCTTGCACCCAGCATCCCATCTCCCACTCACCATGTAACTCCTCTCGCCCCACATGCCTGTCACGTCCCCCTCCACGGCGCCACCATCAGGTGCGGGCGGCGGTGCCTCTCCCACAGATACCCGGCCCGGACGCGCGCTACTCCGACATCTGCTTCGCCAACGTCTCCCAGTGAGCTCCCCACCCGCGCCTCCCTGCCTGCCTTTCTCCCTGCGTGTCTCTCCCTGGATTCCTGTAAGCTTTTGCTCATGCTACATGCTGCTGCATGTCCCTCATTGCATGCAACGTATCAGCAACAGCCCGAGTGTGTTGTCTGCTGAGACTGCCGTCTCCCTCGTGTAACCAACCACTCCACATGAGCCCCTCTCGCCCGTTCCTCCACACTTTCTGCTTGCCTGCATTGTTGCCTCATCCCAGTGTGGTGCCGGCCCTCCCACATGGTGCTGCATTGCATTGCACGCCTTTCACTGCATGCATGCACGGCACCAGGAGAGCCCCCCCTGTGTCTCGCTTCATCTCACCCACCCGCCTTCAATTGCCCCACCTCCTCTGCAATGCTCTCCCCGCTCTCCTTCACCTCCTCGTCCCCCATGCACCCATCAGCGCGGGCGGCATGAACCGGCTGTTCCCAGCGGCCACCATAGTGTTTGGCAACGGAGCAGCGCTGCGCCTCCTGCCGCACAACTACCTCTTCAAGGTCTGCCTACCCACACCGCTCCTCCTCGCTGCATGCTCTCCTCCTCGCTGCATGCTCTCCTCCTCGCTGCATGCTCTCCTCCTCGCTGCATGCTCTCCTCCTCGCTGCATGCTCTCCTCCTCGCTGCATGCTCTCCTCCTCGCTGCATGCTCTCCTCCTCGCTGCATGCTCTCCTCCTCGCTGCATGCTCTCCTCCTCGCTGCATGCTCTCCTCCTCGCTGCATGCTCTCCTCCTCGCTGCATGCTCTCCTCCTCGCTGCATGCTCTCCTCCTCGCTGCATGCTCTCCTCCTCGCTGCATGCTCTCCTCCTCGCTGCATGCTCTCCTCCTCGCTGCATGCTCTCCTCCTCGCTGCATGCTCTCCTCCTCGCTGCATGCTCTCCTCCTCGCTGCATGCTCTCCTCCTCGCTGCATGCTCTCCTCCTCGCTGCATGCTCTCCTCCTCGCTGCATGCTCTCCTCCTCGCTGCATGCTCTCCTTCTCCCACAACCTCTCTCCCTTCCCCGGCTCCTCCCTCCTTCCCCTTCCCACCCTTCCCTTCACTGCAAGCACACCCTGCCACTTTCCTATGAGCTCCTCTCCTCCCTCTCTTCGCCATAACCCCCTCGTCCCTGCCCTCCCTCCCCCGCCCCCACCACGTGGCAGCACAAGAAGCATGAGGACGCGGTGTGTCTGGGCGTCTTTGACAACGGCAGTGGGGGCGCGCTCATCGGAGGTGAGTGGGGCGGATGGATGCGTGTGCGGGGTGACCAGGCGCCCTCTCGGATATAGGAAGCCTTATTGGAAAGCCTTGTGTGTTGCATGTGGAGTGGCAGAGGGGTGGTGTCCGTATTCTTAGCCGTGCATGCGAGGCATGAGTGCATGGCTGTAGCACGGACGCACAGCAACAACGATCATCAACCATGAGCTATGAGGGCAACGCTCAAAGCACAAGGGTGGTGGCGCTGTGGTGTTTCATAGGTGGCCCTGGCCAAACTTGCTCGGGCCACAAAGGCACACCACATATTAGGCACGGCATACCTATGACTTGTGCAATCATAAAGCTCCATCCGCTGTCGCTCCAACTCGCCTCCTTGCAGTGCTCGCCACCATCCACGCTCGCCACCATCCACGCTCGCCACCATCCACGCTCGCCACCATCCACTCTCGCCTAACCTCACTGCTCTCACCCCCTTGCATGTGTGCTTGCGCATATGTCTGCTTTCGCCGCATGGCTGCTGTCTGTCCATGCTGCATGGGGCTGATTCCACGTGGCATGCGAGCACGGCACCAGGAGTGGCAGTGAGGGGCATGCGAGTGACGTACGACAGGGAGCACCACCGCATCGGATTCGCCCCACACAACTGCCCTCTGCGCCCCTCCCCTCCCCCCCCTGCTGCTGCTGCCTCTTCGGCTCCACACGCACACACTCCTCAAGCCACGCCCCAGTCTCCGCCACACGCACACACTCCTTCCTCTGCTGCTTCTGCTCCTCCCCGCCTCGCCTCTGCCGAAGCTAGTGCCGTGCCAGACCTGGATCTTGGGTTTGGCAGCCGAAGCAACGATGGCAGTGTGAGCAACAGTAGCGAGAACGGTGCTGGGGAGGTGAGCGATGGGGGGAGGAGCAGCAGGGGAGGGGAGGATGCAGAGGAGGGAGGGGAGAGGGACGAGCGAGTGGAGGGTGATGCAGGGGTAGGGGAGGACGAGGAGAAGAGGGAGGAGGTGGGGGGAGGGCAGGAGAGGGCGGCGTCGAACCAGGGCGATGAGTCCAATGGGGCTGCGGAAGGGGCGTGGGCGGATGAGGAGGAGGAGCAGTGGTGGGATGGAGTGAGTGGCAGTGTGCTGCTGGGAGGCGACGCAGGTGGGGGCGAGCAAGGCAGGGGGGAGCTGGCGTCATGGCGTGTGAGAGAAGGGGTGGAGGGCAGTGGGAGGGTGGAGGAGGAGGTGCAGCAGGAAGGGGAGCGTGAGGAAGAGGGTGAAGAGGAGGGAGAGGAGGGAGAGGGGGGCGAAGGGCGAGGTGGTGGTGGCAGCAGCGATGGCAGTGTGGGTGTGGGGGAAGTTCCTCTTGCACCGCTGCACCCGCTCTCACCTGCCCGCCACTGGTCCTCCTGCACTCACACCCCCGTGAGCATCGTCAAGGAAGCTTCCAGGAAGTACACGACGATCCGGTGGCGGTGCAAGGGCAGGGGCGGGCAGCGTGTGCTGGCGGACGCGGAGGAGGCGCTGGCGGGCGCAGTGACGCCCGCGGATGAGAGGGAGGCGGACGGGGGGAGGGCGCATGAGACAGCGGAGGGGAAGGGGCGAGCGGGTGCAGATGGGGATGGGGCCGAGGCGGGTGGTGTGGCGGCGTCAGTGTCTGCAGGGGTGGACGGGGGCGAGCAGGGGGGAGCAGTGCAGTGGGGCAGTGGGAGTCACGGGCAGCACACCCACACCCACCTGCTGCTGCACCTGGTCTTCTCTGCCCGCCACCCACCCCTGCTGCCACCACCCCCACCCGTCGCCTCTGCCTCCCGTGCTTCAGCACCACCACTTTCCCTCCCATCAGCCACCTCCACCGCCCCGCCGCTCCCCGCCGTCCTGCCAGCGCTGCTGCCAGCTGTGGCTGCCGCCCTGCTCGTGCGGCCCAGCCGGGTGTCCCTCGCCGCCTTCTCCTCCTCCACGCTGCTGCTGCCCTCCCCGCCCCGCACAGTGGGGGACGGAGCACATGACGCTGAGCAGCAGCAGAGGCACTTCACCATGGCGTCGCTGACCATCCAGTGCCCCTCGCCACGCGCCCACCACACGGTGCCTGCACGCACCTGCTCCCACGAGGCACAGCGCCTGGCTGCACTGGTGCGCGCGGGGCGGTGCCAGGGCGTGGGGGAGCGCGTGCAGCGGGCCATGCGGGGAGAGGGGGCGGTGGAGAAGGTGGGCAGTGCTGACTCGCCCGTGCTGCTGCGCTGCTCCCTGCACGCCCTGCTGCCTGCTGCTCACCGTGACACCGCTCCTGACCTCTCTGACTCGCGTCTCGCCACTCCCTCACACGCTGCTGCCTCTGCGGCTGCCCAGCCTGATGCGGCCTCGGTGGCAAATGGCAGCAGCAAGGACGAGGGGCAGATTGGCGGGTTGCGGAAGGGAGAAGCGGATGAGGGGGAGGGGGTGGAGCACGGGGTGGTGGAAGAGGTGGTGAGCTCAGTGCTGGGGGGGACGGCAATGCTCGGGAGGCAGCAACAGGGCGTGCAGGAGGGCTCTGACGTGCCTCTCGTGCGCTCTGTCACACTCACTCTCAGGTACATACACACACACACACACACACACACACACACACCCACACGCACACGCACACGCACACGCACACGCACACGCACACGCACGCGCACGCGCACGCGCACGCGCACGCACACACACACACACACACACACACACACACACACACACACACACACATACACACACACACACACACACACACATGTGAGAAAATGTGAGGAAGAACCATTGGTTTCATTAGGAGAGATGGGGGTATACATAGTAGTGCTAAAAGGGGGGGGGTTTGTTGGAACCAAGCCAACATTATTGGCCCCCACCAATAAGTTGGGTTGAGGGATTATTGGGGGGACCAATAATGTTGACCAAGTGGTTCAACATTATTGGGGGGACCAATAATTCCCAACCCAACCTTGGGGGCCAAGGTTTGAGTTCCAACCCCCAACTAGGGTTAGCCCTAGTTATACACCCAAACTAAGTTTGGATGGCTATCTCTAACCTAAGCTTATAGGATTGATGTAGGTTACAATGAGGATGGTAATCTGACACAACCCCTTAACCTACAGAAATTCATAAGCTTGGGAAAAGAGAGAGCAACAACCCCTGAATCAGCCACCGCGAGGAGCAAGTCCCTGGAGACGCAAAAGCGCAGAGTGGTCAGAGCGGTGGAGAGCCTTGGTGAAGAGATCGGCGAGGTTGTCGGAGGAGGCAATTTTGCGAACGGTGATGTGACCATCTTGGACAAGGTCGCGAACAAAGTAGTAGCGAAGCTCAATGTGTTTGGAGCGACCATGAAAGACTGCTTCCTTAGTGAGGTGGATGGTACTGTCGTTGTCACACCACAGGGTGGGGCAGGGCTGTGGGGAGCCAAGGTCGGTGAGCAGATAGCTGAGCCAACGTGCCTCTTGAGCCGCCATCGTGACCGCGTACAGTTCGGCCTCGCAGGATGAGAGGGCGACGGAGGAGGAGCGGGTGGAGCGCCAGCTGATGAGGCCGCCCCCGAGTGTGAAGCCATAGCCTTGAGAGCTGCGACGGTCGGGCTGTGCATCGGCCCAAGATGAGTCGCTGAAGCCTTGAAGAATAGGCGGGTTCACACCACCAAGAGTGAGAACATGGTCCTTTGTGCCCTGAAGGTAGCGAAGAACACGCATGGCCGCCTTCCAATGCTCTTCACCATGCCTGCCGGTGCCAACGAACTGCGCCAGAACACTGACTGGGTATGCAAGGTCGGGACGAGTGCAGACCATGGCGTACATCAGGGCCCCAACAAGTTCTGCATAGGGATGAGGGGAGGTGACGGGAGTGGTGGGGGGGGAGAGCCGATGCCCGAATGCAAGTGGTGTGGGGATGGGTTTGCAGGTTTTCATGCCAAACCTCTCAAGAATTTTCTCGATGTAAAAAGATTGAGAGAGGGTGATGGTCTTGGCAGTGAGGTCGCGAGTGATCTCCATGCCGAGGTAGTTGCGAACCTCCCCCAGCTCTTTGCAGGCTAGTCGTTTCTGCAGCTCATCCTTGACCTCCTGGAGGTCAGCAGCTGTGTCAGCGGCCAGCAGCATGTCGTCGACGTAGACGAGGATGAAGAAGGGTGATGGGGTGAGGCGCAGGAAGAGGCAGGAGGCGGCACGGGAGGGGCGAAAGCCAAGTGCGCGGAGGGTGGAGGAGAGTTTGGCGTGCCATTCCCGAGGTGCTTGTTTGAGCCCGTAGACAGGGCGTAGCAACTTCCAAATAGTGGTAGGGTTGTGAGGAGCGTGGAAGCCTTTGGGACGTTCCAGGAAAATTAGCTCATGAAGGTCGCCTTGCAGAAAGGCGGTGGTGACGTCCATGGAGTGAAGAATCATCCCGCGTCTGCCAACAAAGTCCAAAAACACGCGAATGACCAGTGGAGTGGCGGTGGGTGAGTAGGTCTCGAAGAAGTCTGAGCCATAGGTCTGTGTGAAGCCTTTTGCCACATATCGAGCCTTGTAGACCGGAGCGTCGCCAGGGAGTAGTTTTACTCGGAAAAGCCACCTGCCTTTGACCACATTGTGCTTGGAGGGACGAAAAACGTCGAGAAACGAGCGGTTGCTGATGAAGGCGTTGCTCTCCTTGACCATGGCCTCGATCCAGAGAGGTGCATCAAGACAGGCAAGTGCTTGCTCATAGGTGGTGGGTTCGTAGATGGTGGGGGTGGTGGAGAAGAGAAGGACAGTGGTGCCAGCCATTGTGCGGACGACGGGGGCGATGGTGGGTGAGAGGAGGTGGAGGAACAGAAGCTCATCGTGAGAGTCTTCAAGGAGGTCCGGAGTGAGAGGAGGAGGAAGAGGAGGCGGTGGAGTTGCAAGACAGCTGCGCTGGAGGGTCGGGCCGATGCGGGGACACAGCTGCACTGGTGCTCTGCTGCGCTGAGGGTCGGGGTGGGGAGACAGCTGCATTGCAGCTCGGCTTCGCTGAGTTGCCATGAGGGGTAGGGAGACGGGAGCGCGACTGCTGAGAGAACCTGAGGGGCTGGTGCGGGGGAGAGGGGAGGTGCTATGGTGGCGGAGAAGGGGGATGGATGTGAGAGACTGGAGGGAGGGGGGGGTGGACCTTGGGGTACCAAGAACGGGGACCGTGGAGCGGGTGTGAGGGTAGTGGCGGAGTATGAGAGGGGGAGTGGGAAGTAGGGGCCGGGAGGATGGAGGTGGAGTGAGTGGGGGAGGGCGTGGGGAGGGGGAGGTGGGGAATGTTGTGCATGAAGGGAGGGAGGGGGAGGGGGTGGGGAGGGAGGGGGAGGGGGAGGGGGAGGGGGAGGGGGAGGGGGTGGGGAGGGATGGGGAGGGGCAGCGGGTGAGGAGGGAGGGGGAGGGGCAGCGGGTGGGGAGGGAGGGGGAGGGGCAGCGGGTGGGGAGGGAGGGGGAGGGGCAGCGGGTGAGGAGGGAGGGGGAGGGATAGCGGGTGGGGAGGGAGGGTGGACGGGGTCAAGGATGTCTCCTGATGAGGCGGGGGGAGAGTGGGGAGGGGGTGGGGGTGCAGGGGGGACAATAGTGGGGGGGGGGAGAAGGGAAGGGGAGGGGAGAGGAGGTGGAGGGGGAATGGTGTCAGTCCAGAGGAGGGGACGGGTGGTTAGAGGGAGGGGGTTAGGGACTTTGGGGGAGGTGTAGTATGGGCGGGCTTCATCAAATTCCACATCCCGACTACGAATGAGGCGACCTGAGGGGGGATGGAGGAAGAGATAGTCCGGGGAGGAGGTGTTGTGACCAAGGAAAATGCAAGGGAGAGTGCGGGAGGCTAGCTTCCCAGCTTTGCGTGAGCGGTCAACAGGGTGTATGAGAACATACGCCATGGAGCCCCACACGCGCAGGGGGGAGATGTCGGGCTTTTTGGACGTCCAGAGTGCGGTGGGAGTGGTGGTGGCCCGGAAGGGATGAGGGTACAGGTTAGTGAGGATGGCAGCGTGGAGGATGGCATAGCCCCAGAGAGAGGGCGGGCACGAGGCATGGACCATGAGGCACCGAGCAGTCTTGGTGACCTCACGGACCCTGCTTTCCGCCACGCCATTTTGCTGAGGGGAATGAGGTAGGGTGTAGGTGTGAATAATGCCACGAGTGGTGCAGTAGGATGAGAGCATGTTGTTAAGGAACCCACCACCGCCATCAGAGTGGAAGCGGGAGACAGGGCGTTTGAAATGGGTGCGAGCTTGTTCAGCCCAGGCAATGATAGCAGCCGGGGCCTCCGCCTTCGTGCGAAGGAGGGAGACGGAGGAGTAACGGCTGTGGTCATCCACCAGGATGAGCAGGTATTTGTGACCTTGCCTGGTGGGGGAAGGGTTGGGGCCCCAGAGATCCATGTGGACAAGATCAAGAGGCTGGGGAGAAAAAGAGGGATGACTCTTGTGGGGGGCTTGTTTCAGTTTGCTTTCAACGCATACTGAGCAGGGAGGGGAGGGTGACGGGGGGAGAGGAGGGAGGGTGAGGGGGAGTCCGTCGAGGAGTTTGGTGGAGACAGTTTGACGGAGGGTGGCAAAGTTGGGATGACCCAACCGATGGTGAAGGAGAACTGCGGGGTGGGTGAGGTCACGACAGTGACATGAGGGGGTGGGGGAGGGGGGGGGGAGTGGGAGGAGTGGGAGGAGTGGTGGGGGGGGGGGGGGGGGGAGGGGATGGGAGGAGGGGAGGGGGAGGGGAGGGGAAGTGAGGGAAGGGGGAGGGGTGCCGTGGGGGCGATGAGGTGGTGGATGGAGGTGCGAGGGGTGCGGTATGTGTACATGTTTGTGTGAGGGCAGAGGGGAATGCGACAGATGAAGTGGCCAGTGGAGGTATGAAAGAGGTCGCAGTGACGTGCATGACCAGGGAAGAGGGCGGTGATACCGAACCTGGTGAGGTCACAAAGGGCTACCAGATTGTTGCGTAGGGAGGGAATGTATAGACCTGTGACTGTACCTGAGGGGAAGATTGGACAAGGGAGGGTGGAGGTGTATCGACTTGTGATGGTGAAGCTGGAGTCTGCTCCGTGGATAGTGGAGGGAGTGGGGAGAGGTACCAGTGTGCCCGCATCCCGAAAGACAGTGTGTGTGGCTCCACTGTCAAGGATAAACTCAAGGCATGCAGAAGAGGAGGAGTAGGCGGAATACTGGAAGAGGGACTCATTGATAGCATGGGCATACCGAGGATCAGCAGGAGCGGTGCTCACATGGCCTATGAATCCAGCAGAGGGGAACGGAGTAAAGCCATGAGGGTTGATGGAGGAGGAGGTCTGTTCAGCAGCATTAGCAGCAGATGCCGGGGGCCCATGGCCATATCCGGGAGGTGGGTAAGGAGGGTAAAGCCAGCCAGCATAGGGTGGAGGGTAGTGAGCGAGAGGGGCTGGAGGCGGAGGTGTGGGTGGAAGAGGAGTGGGAGTGGTGGGAGTGGGGATGGAGGGGAGAAGATGCTGAACTTGTTGAGGGATGTGATATGGGAGATGATGAGTGAGGACATTGTGAAGGTTGGGAGTAGAAAGTTGATAGGCGGGGAGGGTGTGGATGTCATGGCGAAGCTCGAGCTTGTCAATAGCTCCGAGCCTACTGGGAGTGGAGTCGTCCGCCATGAGGAGGAGGAGGGGGGGAGGGGGTGACGACACCGGCTTGAGGGCGGGTGCGGTCAAACAGGGGGGGGGAAGGGACGACACCACCTGGAAGGGTGGTGCGGTCATGTTGCGTGCGGCGGCGCCGGGTTACCCGCAGCTGCGTTTGTGTCGCCCGCGGATGCGCCTTTTCGCCCACGGGTGCGCGTTCGTTCGCGGCTGCGCCTCGTCGACCGCGGGTGCGCGTCCGTCCGCGGCTGCGCCTTGTCGCCCGCGGGTGCGCGTCCGTCCGCGGATGCGCCTCGTCGCCCGCGGGTGCGCGTCCGTCCGCGGATGCGGCTCGTCGCCCGCGGGTGCGCGTCCGTCCGCGGATGCGCCTCGTCGCCCGCGGGTGCGCGTACGACCGCGGGTGCGCCTCGTCGCCTGCGGGTGCGCG